GATATGCTTTGCTGCCTGATTTTATGCCAGACATTGATTAATAAGTTTCATCAAAAAGAAAACTCAGCAATTCAGCCCTGGAGAGCAACTTCAGGTCTTTCCAGAACAGCCAATCCGTGTCAGCAGGACTCAGAATAGAAATGGTACGCATCCATCAAATGGATGGATGGGATTTTAAGAGTCCTTATAAGAGAGGTTGCTTCCTCTGCTCTACTCTCTACTCTTTACCATATGAGAATACGACCAGAATTTGGCAGTCCTCAATCCAGAAAAGGGCCTTCGCCAGAATTCGACCATGCTGGTACCCTGATCTTACACTGCCAGCCTCAGGAACTGTGAGAAATAAACTTCTGTTGTTTATCAGCTGCCCAATCTATAGCACTTTGTCATAGTAGCCCAAATTAAGGCAGAAATTGGTACCGAGGGTGGGATGCTGCGGTAACAAATACCTAAAAATGTGGAAGTGGCTTTTAAACTAGGTAATTGATAGAGGCTGTAAGAATTTTGAGCTGTATGCTAGAAAAGGCCTCTATTGCTGTGAATGGACTAAGACAGACTGTTAAAAAAGTTGGGGGGGATAAATGAAACGCATTAGAAATTATTTCTTTGAACGTAAATATGAGCAGAATATAGTGACATTCTATCCTTGTAGTTTCTCTTGTCAATAATAATGGATCTATAATCTTGAAAATTAAATTAATGAGGATTATTTTGTTACTGATGTTTTAAGATAAAATTATAAACAAATGCAGATTAATGATCTGGAAAGACAGACTTTGCTTACTGTTTTCTTAATATTTTAGTACTTTACTAGGGCTAATTTACTATGAGTAGAAGAGTTACAGAGAAAATTTTGGAAAAACAGATTGAGTTGTATAAGAACATTTTTTCCACAAATATTCTTAGAATAGAGATAATTATCAAACAAATATCTCATTTCAACTCTTATTTATCTAGTGTGGTATTTATGTTTATTTTCTTTTATAGCTATGTCTCTAGAGATGATCAAGGATAATAATAATAATAGGACTCTTGACATAGAGTGAAATCTATAATTTCCATTAATTCTAAAATTAAAATCAAGTTTCCTCTACACTCTCATTGTGAATAATTTATCATCTTGAGGACTGTTTTCTTTGCTTCAAATTTAATTTATTTAAATTTTAAAATACAATTTATTTATTAGTTTCCACATAAACTTTTAAACCAGGTGGAAATGTAACTAATGTTCTGGTCTGTCCTCAGTTGTTAGTTGGGAAATTGGCATTTGAATTTAAATATTAGATTCTCTTTATTAAATACTTGTGAGCCTGTTCCTAAGAGAGTGACCATTCAGGGTCAAATTCAGTTTGTAAATCTGCAGTGGGGCCAGATCTGGATTTTGGTGACATGCCAAGGCATTGCTACCTTGTGAGAGTTTGCCTGGCTGAAATTTCTAACACTCCTTTGCAAATTGCAGGGTACATTCTTCTTATTTACAATGATCATCGGTGCAGCTCTAGTCTAAACTCAACCTATGCTTGACGAGAAGTTTCTGACTCGTAGCCTTACACTGTACCTATACCTTCATAGAGCTATGTGTATTTTACATTTCTTGCTTTCTCTCTCTCTCTCTCTCTCTCTCTCTCTCTCTCTCTCTTTTTTTCTCTAGGAGAAGTGCCCCATAGAAATTAAATGGAGGAAGGAAAATTTTAGATTGGAATGTCCTCTCAAATCCAGCCCACAGAGTATATTTTATATTTAAGTACATTGTTTTATGCTGTGTGCTTTCTTTAGAGGGCTGCTTCTTAGCTACCATACTCAGGAGACTATGAGATTCGTGAGGGAATAATCAAACTCTTCTCCAATGAACTGGAAAGGTAGCTTTACCTCTCAGTTGTTATCCTGGAAGTTTCTAAGTGATCTCTACATCTTTTTTCAGCCCTTTTGCAGTGCATCGTTGGTATCACTAAATATTTTCTATGAATAGTAATCCATATATTTATTTCTAAGTAATTTCTTCTCCAGAATTAAACAGGACTATAGCAATCGAACGAGGGATATGATGGTTTTTGTTAATTTTGAGATAATTGTTTGTTTATAAAATTAGAATAGAATAAATTTGAATTTTATTAATAGCATAATACAATTAGGAATCACATCACCTGATAATGAACCCCAATTTCGCAATTAGAGGGGAAAAAACCTGTGTCTGGTACATTTGTCACACAATCAAGGGGTTTCAGCATTTTCTGCTCTGAAAACCATCTCGTTCTTTAGATTTCCCAGAAGCATTTTCACGCCTGCCTCCTTCTGACTTGCATTTTTCTTGTTTACATGTTGGTCGTCATGACTGTCATTACTGTCAGCTCCATGGGGACAAGGAATGTGCTTTGGACATTTTTTTTGTTTATTGGGGTAACATTGGTTAATACAATTATATAATTTTCAGGTGCACATTATAATTTGACATCTGTATATTCTATTGTGTATTTCCCTCCCAAAGTCCAATTTCTTTCAGCTACCATATATTAATCCTCTTTACTCACTTCACCCTCCTCCCATCCCCCTATATTTGACCCCCTTTAACCATTTACCTACCTCCCTCTCCTCCACCCCCTACTCTCTCACTAGTCTATTGTCCATGTCCATGAGTCTCTGTTTGTTTGTCCTGTTCATTTTTTGCTTAGGTTTATACCCCGCATATAAGTATATGGGGTTTATCATGTGATTTTTAACTTTTTCTGTCTGGCTTATTTCACTTAGCATGATTATCTCAAGGTCCATCCATGTTGTCACAAATGGCAGTATTTCATCTCTTCTTATGGCTGAGTAATATTCCATTATATAACCTCCATATTGTTTTCCATAGTGACTGTACCAATTCGCAGTCCCACCAGCAGTGTATGAGGGTTCCTTTTTCTCCGCATCCTCTCCAACATTTGTTATTACTTGTCCCGTTGATTATAGCTATTCTAACAGTTATGAGATGGTATCTCATTGTGGTTTTGATTTGCATTTCTCTAATAGCTAGTGATGTTGAACATCTTTTCAAATATTTGTTGGACATTTTTTTTGTCTCCCGTAACACCTGAACCTCAGAGCCATTGAGTATATATTTGCTATATTTAATTGAAAAGTTCTAAAAACAATTTGTTTATCAAAGTTGCACATGACTAGGAGAGACTAAGAGGAGTAGCTAATAAGTTAAATATCAGGGCTTTAAAATATCTCAATAGGCCGAAAAATGTATAAAAAGAAATATAAATAATAAGAACTGAATTCAAAAACACAAAAAACAAAATTAGGAATGTGTAATAGGTGTGTTTAATAGTGAATTACGCACAGCTGAAGAAGGAATTAGTGAACTAGAAGATAGTTCAAAAAAGTACAAAATGAAGCACAGAGAGCAAAAGATTAGAAAATGCCAATGAGAGGCTAAGAAACAAAGAGGATATATTGGGAAAGTCATACACATATATAATTGGAATAATACAAGGAAAGGAGAAAGGGAATGAGGCAGAAACAATATTTATAATGGCTGAGAATTTTCTAGAAATAAAAAATATCAAACCACAGATTCTAGAAGTGTAGCAGATTCCAGGCAGGATACGCAAATAAACCCATAATTAGACATATTATGGTTAACCTGCGCTACAATCAAAAATAAGGAGAAAATCTTAAAAGCAGACTGAGAAAATAAATATATTATCATCAAAGAAGCAGAGTTTATATTTTTAGATTAAATAAGATGCTTATTGCATGAGTCATTTTTTTATGATTTAACACCTTAACCAAATTTTCATCTTTGGAGCCTGATTAGGCCATATGAAGTTTTCTTCCAAAGCTAGAATAGAGGATTTGAATGGCTATTGACCAAAAGAGAGAGATTTGATTTATTCTAGTTAACTCCAAGGGAATGGACCAAATTCCAGTATATGGAGGGTCCAAAAAAATCAAACATATCTCTACTTAATATAAAGAGAGATATCTAATATTTCGAGTTGTTAAAACCTGGGATAAATTACCTTATATAAGAAATGAGTTCTCTAACATCAAAGGGTTTGATCAAAAGGCAGATACATTAGTCCATTTATCAAATATTTAGTAAACACCTACTATGTACCAGGCGTAGTTATAGATGCTGGGGATATATCAGTCAACAACACCAACAAGAACGAAAATGGCAAAAATCCCTTCTATGGAGAACATATATTCTAGTGCAAGGACACAGACAAGCATGATAAATAAGTCAGTCATGCACAGTGTTAGAAGATGCTAAGTGCTAAGAGGCAAAAAATGAAACAGGGTAAAGGGGATCAGGAGAACTGGGGGAAGGAAGGTTGGCAGTTTAAAAGGTAATGATCACAGTGGACTTCATTGAGAGGTATTGTTTGCCATTAAGACCTTAAGTCGGGAAGGGAGTGTGAGCTGGAAGGATCTAATTGGTTAAACAGAAAAGATTGGTGGGAGTTACTTTCAACTCCATAATTTAGTCCTACCATATATTTCAGAATAAATTTAGAATTTTAGCAAATGGAATTATATTTATTATTATGAAATAATAGAAATCAAGATAACATCCTATGTTTATTAATGAAAGCTGTTAATCCTCACTGTAACATCATAGAAACTCTGCACTTGAAAAATGTTTCTTTTAAAAATTCCAAATTCCAGGAAGGATGTGGTACCTTCTTTTGGTACTCTCAGAATTTGGTGGTTAGAGCAGATAATTAGTATCAGCTTGTTAGAGAACTGGGCTGTCATCTAGAGAAAATACGTAAAGAATCTTCACAGAGTGTTCAATAGCGGAATTGTTGGTTTGTACTTATGAATCAGATTGTTTTTTGAAAAAAAGAAAAGCTGACACCCAGCTGCTTTTTGGAAAAAAATAAATAAATAATGTTTGTCTTTGATGTTGAGTTTCGCAGTGCCAGCCATTTGAAGTATAGAGGGCTTTGACATGTGCAGAAGGAAAAGCCAAGAACATCTTCACTGGTAACTGTAGTCTTGTGTTGCAGGCACACAAAAAGTCCCTTTGGACAGTTAAACCCAGTGAAGGCATCGTTCCCCCGGAAACTGATGTTCAACTGACACTGACCGCCAACCTGAATGATATAGTGACATTCGAAGACGTGGTCATTTTGGAAATCGAAAATAGCAGCACCTATCGGATTCCTGTCCAGGCTTCAGGAATTGGTTCCACCATTGTTTCAGATAAGCCCTTTGCTCCAGAACTCAATTTGGGAGCATATTTTAGGTATGGAAATACCATGGATGAATTTTCGAAAATATCACATATATTGCATAAGTAAATAGAACTAGCCTCTTCAGTCCCTCCCCTTTCCTGTCTTCACTTTCCCCCGCTCTAGATGGGTACATCAGCCACAAGAAGACACTTCCCAGGCATAGCTTGATTACAGTCTCCAAGCTGTGTCCCTCTACACTGCAGAAAAGATGGTTTATGGGAAGTATATTATTCTCTCAAACTCACAGTAGCTTCTCTGTGACTAATTCAGAAACTCAACAATGATTCCTGCTCTTTGATTCCAATACACTGTTAATCTCTCTCCATGGATGTAGAAAATACAGATGCATCTTAGTGGTAACCTAAGTAGAGTATAACTAGGCAGCTAAAAATTTATTATAAATACTTCTTATCGGGAATTACACAGCCAGTAGCTTGGGGGTGGGCATTATGTCCTCTGCTTGCCTCCCCACTACAGCATCAACAATGGAGATGGTTGTGATTGGCTTCACCTGATCACTCAGGAAAAGCTAGAGCATGTGAACAAACATTTAAATAAAAGGTGGTAGAGTATAGACACCTCTGTGCAAAATGATCTAAATGTGGCTCTAAAAATGTATGCAGTCTGAAAGCTAATGGGGGAGGATATGTGTGGGGATATATTCATGGTTTCCAGAAGAGTCATGCAGCTGTCTAGGGCCAGATAAATTTGTGCCTATCCATCGCAATACTGTGAACAAATCTCAAAGGGGCACTCCTGCCTTCTGGTCTAACAGGCCCCAAAAGCCAGCTAGACACACTGTGCTTAGAGAGATGAACCTGACAAAAATCAATTAGGAGCCCTTCCCACAAACCCATCCACGACTCCTTCTTCTGTTCTATCTACGAAACGTGGCACTTTATTGAAAATACTGTAAACTGCTAGGAATTAGGTAATAGGCAAGTCAGATAGTTGAATTGCATGTGTTTTCAGAAAAGCATCCATTATAGTTTTTTGTCAAATAGATATAAAAAAGCTCCTCTCTGCCTGTCTATTGACCATAAGCTAGAGCATTTTGTCAATGCATGCCATGCTTCTATTTCCAAATTTATTTGTTAAGTACACTCAAAAAAAAATTATAGAAAACAATATACTGTGAACAAGCCTTGATTACATGTTCTCTTTAATCTATAAATAGTGTCGAATAGCCTCAAAGGATATTCTGTCACTTGCCTGGAATTGAGACGGGTAGCCTATAGTTTTCTATGAATATAGAAGCAAACTGCAGCATTTAGCTGTCAATTTCCCCTCCGCCTAAACCCTATCATTCTTTTTTACAAAAAAAAAATCGATGCCAGAGATCTTGTCAAAAGCAGAGGTGGGCAAACTGCAGCCCACTGTCTGTTTCTATAAATAAAATTTTATTAGAACACAGTGGACAGTTGATTAGTTGTTGACAATGACCATGTGACTCAAAAGTCTAAAATATTTATTATTAGGCCCTTTACAGAAAAGTTTGGGGGCATATAGGTCTAAAAAAATTACCCATATGCCACCTCTTCTTTGGGGCAACTCCCTTAAATTTTCAGAGCTTCTATTTCTTCATTTATAAAATGGGAGTAAATATACTTATTTTTACTGGTTTGCTGTGATGGTTGAAAGATATACTGTGAATAAGTGGCAGAGGCCCTGCCTATTTTATAAACAGTATATATTATTTATTGTTTTTTTCCAAAGCCTACTCTTAGCCATGAAGTCAAACTACTTAGTAAAGACTACAGTGAGCATGCATTGAGGACATATATCTAGAACGAAATGCTTACACCTGGCAATTGACAAATACTCCTGATTATTTATCTGATGCTACAACTTACTTCTTAGATATGATATAACTTCCTAAGGAGGAACAGATGGGATAAGATCACAAAGCCTAATAAAATTTAAAAAACAGTCTCAAAATGAGTTTTATCCCTGAAAAAAATTTTTTATACATCAGTAAAAAAAAAAATCCCAAACAAAATACATTTGAACCTCCACCTCCAAGATCTTAGAAATTCCAATGTTTAACAAAGAGCCAGAAAATCAAGAGGCCCTTAATAAATATTTGTGGACTAGATGAAAGAGGGAGTGAAATAGCATCTTTAAAACTGTTAGTCTAAGAAAAAATGACCAGTCCAGCTGGCATCCTGGTCCATTACAGTCCTCTTGACTTTTGATAAGGCGTGAAGGACATGTGTCATTTCTCTTTGAAGTTCCCTTCAAACAAGCCCATCACAAGACATTTCACTCAGTCGGCAGAAATTTACTCAACACTATTTGAAATACACTTCTCTTCCAGTCAGCATTTTGCTTTCCTTTCACTCTTCAGAACTATTTCTCATAAATTAGCGTGGTTTTCATATGAATTGTGTCTGTGCATTCTGTGGCATGCTTGACCTACTGGGAAAGTCTGAGGATGGGTGGGGTCACTTTCCCACGGCCCCTTCCTTGGTGATGACAACTCAAGGGCCAAACCTAGGTCCCTGACTCCAGTCTGTGGACCCCCTGAGTAGATCCTGCTTTGTCTCAATGTTGCGGTAACTCCTAGTAGCATTGCAATGTAGCCTTTCTACATTAAAATAATAATAATGATGATGATGATGATGATGTCTATTTTGTTGCCCACTTTTAAAATACTTCCAGAGGAGTAAATCCCAAGGGTGTAGAGCTAAATAGAACATCCCAAAGGCGAGTCCTCTCTCTACCGGCCTTCTCTTTTCCAGCCTGGACACCTATTACTACCGCTTCAAGTTGACCAATAAGGGACGTCGGGTCCAACAGTTGTTTTGGATGAACGAAGATTTCTGTCCCCAGAACAAGCTGAGCAAGAAAGGCCTGGCTAAGAAGGGACTTGCTAAGAGCCAGTCCCAGCACCATTGCTCCCAGGCACCCGAGGCTTCCCACTGCCCCGTGTTTCAGCTCCACCCTGTCCGGATGGAGCTATACCCAGGCCAGACAATCGATGCGATACTCGAAGGCTATTCTGCTACTCCCAGGGTAAGAGGACAGCATGTGTAGAAGCTATTTTTCTCCTAAATAAATCTTTACTCCTTCTATTTCTTAGGAGAGTTCCTTGACATTTATCTGAAGAAAGGATGTGGCTTCTTAAGGATTGCATACAGAGCTAAGTTACCATGGCAGCACCCACTGTTTTCAAGGTTCAGCTCTGCTCAGTTTTCTGTTTGTTTCTACAACTGTCACGAAACCAACCTGAAAATACTATTTAAAGGAGGTTGTCATCCCCAGGGTCAACAGTGACCAGCCAGTAAATCTCTAGGAAAGGGATATCCAGCATTCAGCCAAAGCTAAACCTCTGATGAACACTTAGCAGTATTCCTATTTATTCAAAAGGAGTGTTTTTATAGGTACTCTGGGCTGCCTTTTTTATCTGGGTATTGGGACATCCCCAGTTCCTTCCCTCTCAGCCTGACATAACAGCATCACATTTATAATCATTATTTTTTTATGTGTCAATAAAGGAGCCACATTTACCTTCAGTGATTCTGATATTCTCTTATTTACATTATCACCATTCTGCTTAAACGTTTATGCAAATCCAAGCCATATCTCTGTTTATTCCTATTCCGTCATGGAGACTGGAAACCAGCAGAAACCTAAAATAAACTTCTGGAATCACTTGTGAGCCTCTTCTACCTCACAAACACAGACTTTGTGGGTGAGAAATGATGCTTGCGCTTTTCCTGGTGTCACCAAATTAGGAGGCAATAACAAACTTTCTCCTCATGAAATAGAAAAGAATAAGAAATTTGTCTTGCAGCAGACAAGATAGCATAGCTGGCTCATTACTTCATTATGGAGTGTATAATGAGGTCTTTCTGTTATTTGGGGGTTCAACCATCTGTTATTGAATGTATACCACATGACAAACAGTGTGCTAGGCAGTAAGGATGCGAAGGCGAATGGAATGCAGCCCCTCATTTCAGACGCTGACAGCCTGTTGCAGGAGCACATTTACAGTGTGATCAGGAGCTGACCATATTTCCAAAGGCATTAAATCTGACCTGCTAGGGTTCTAAATCCAGTGTAAGCTTTCCTGAAAGCTTCCCTGAATGTTCTCCCAAGTTATGCTACATAATTAAGAAGAGAAGTGAATTTCTTAACATCTGAAACTTGAGCCATCTTCAGTACAAGCTATTCATGATATAAATTCACCTTGGGTTGCTTCTACTTTATAAAAATCTCAGCCTCTGGGGGCCAAAGAAATATTGATTTCTGTAGCATGATTTTTAAATATTCAAGTATGAAAAGCAAAGTTTTTCCAGCCACAGTTTATGACTAGCTTAATAAGAAATATGACTACAATTGAACTATAAGCCCATAAGGACTTTTTCTGTCTTGTCCATCACATTTGGGGATGTCCAGTCCCTAAGAGTCCTGATGCATAATACATTATATATATACATATATGTATATATATATTTACATTATATACACACACACACACACACACACACACACACACACACATATATGTTGAATTGAATGTAAATTGACTATGTCCTCAAGAGCAGTCAGAAATAGACACAGGATCCCTCCAGGACATATTTAACCAATCAGACATCAATTGTGTAACAGAGCAATACCTGAAATGCACTATTTGGGAAAATGTGCTCCTCCCTGGTGTCTCCAGGCAGGTAGTTGAGAATCAGTTTGATGATCATTGAGAAATAAGTTTTCTGAGCTATGAATATTCCCAATATGTGGATGTATCTCATCTGCAGATAGTGAAAGAAAAGCTGGTTTGCCACGCCATCATCGGGACACAGAGGGTGAAGAGCTTGGTGATGAATGTTAACATCATCTGTGAATTCATAGCGCCACTTATCCAGCTCTCCACCAAGCAGCTCATATACCGACTGGAGAAGGTCAGTGGGGCTGTGCTGGGAGGGCTGGGATCAGCACTTTCACATTTGCATTTGAGAAGCTGGGTGGATGGGAAGCCTGTTGCACCCACACCCAGCCTATGTTTTGGGAGCTTCAGATGCCTATACACCTTCAGCTGAAAATTCTGAATCTAAACCTATATTCCTTTGAAATGTAAATTGCTATGCAAATTTTACTTCCATCATTCCTGATGCATAAAACCAAAGCGAAGGGATATTCCTGTGCACTGAAAATGCACTGTAGTCGATCATTTTACTCTAATTAGGTGAAAAAACATCACAGTATAGAAAGAGTTGGAGTAGAATTATTGATAATTACAATAATTAGTAAGAACAGCTACCACTTATTGATTGGCTTGTGCTAGTCACTGAGCCATGTTTATTTCGTACATTTTCCCAGTTGTTCCTCACAGCAGTCTATGCTGTAGGTCCTGTATCATTCCCACGATACACATGGGGGAACCGAGCTGCAAGTTAAGCTATTATGTGGAGCACCTAACACTGCTTAAGAATAATCAACTTAAACTATATGATTCACATTTTTAAAAATGTTATTATTAGTTTCAAGTATATAGTACATTGGTTAGACATTTATATAGTTTATAAAACAACCTCCCTGATTGCTTTTTCTCTCCTCTGGCTCTCCACCTAGCCATTACATTACTGCTAACTGCATTCCCTATGGCGTGCTCCCCATCCCCGTGACTATCTATCGACTACTAGTTTGTACTTCTTTCATAAATTACATGGCTCTAAATGTCCATGACTTTATATGGCCATTAATGGGGAGGCAGAGGATAGGAGAGAAATGGAAATGACTGCTGCTCAGGGCAGGGCGTCAGGATAGTGAAGAGGTGAGGGAGGTATCACAGTAGGACTTGACCTATTCCTCAGCAGATGTCCGTCATAGAATTGTTTACCATTTAAAACATGTACATATGGAATGTCTCTTCCAAGCTGGAGATTGTATTGGTACTGAAAATCTAGTGAACCAGCCAGACACAGTCAAAGCTCAGAGACTGGTTGAGGTCACAGACTGTAAACAAATTATTAAAATTTACTTATTTAAATTATGATTCTGAAGAGTGCTATGAACAAGAGGTATAAGGTGCTGTGGAAACACGTATCAGGAGATGTGACCTTATTTGTACCTGTGGTGACAGATGTCATCCTTGAGCAAGTGCCTCAAGTTGAGACTTGAAGAAGAAATGAAGTTAGTCTAGTGACAAGAGAAGAAGAGAGAATTCTAGGCAGAGGGAACAGCACACATGATGGGCTCGAGTTAGAAAAGAGCCTGATGAACATAGACCTGAAAGGCCACCTTAGACAAAGGATTTGCCAAGAGCAACATAAGGCCCATCTGAATGAAGAAGTGGGCAAGGACCAATGAGTGTGGCATGACTGGGAGGCATGTCCTGGCATTCGGGACACTGTGTCTCATGCTGGGGACACACAATGAGGACACACCCACCCTGACGAACCTCACAGCCGACTGGGAAGACCGAGTATTAAGTAAGCAATTGTCCCACAGTGTGATCTGTGCTGTCATACGGAATGACTCGGGTGGCAGTGCCTGAACTGTCATGGGGAAATCAACCAAGGTTCATTTCATGACTTGGAGGCTTGCAGGAGAGTGATCAACACCATTTATTCTGGTAGTGAATTCGATCATATTTTGTTCATTTTAAATAAGTGTCTATTGAGCACCCACCATAGGTACAGTGCTCTGCTGAGAGATGACTGAAGGAGGTTATAGTCGAGTAGGAGAGCAAGATGTACAAATTCAACTCAAATCAACAAGTAATTTTTGAGCACTTAAAATAGATGAGGCAGCAAAAACACAGCTAAAACCCTGGCTTTCCCAACTAGTGGGAAAAAGTAGACATTGACGAAATAGCAGAAGGATTTCAGTTACAGAACGCTAAACTGTGATAAGCTCCATGAGATGTATAAAAAGAAAACACTACAAGAGTTCCTGCTACAGTTATTAAGTTTTCATTGCTGTTTTAAATTCTTCTTTTTTTAAGAATCAGGAAAGATATTTATTGGCTGTGCTGAATCTGTTGGCATTATATTTTTTCCTAAATGTAACTATTCAAAGAAAATTCAGTGAATATTTATTGAATAGCTATTCCATATAAGACATTACAGTATATATTAAATATGCAATTTATTTTCTTTTTAGATTTTTTTCTAAGCCCATAAACACTCATAAAATGTGTAGTGTTCCTTTTCTTCTCTTTATATCCTTAAGCCTCTTTAAAAAGTATATCTTTGTTTAAATGTATGTTGTTTGACTTTATCACTAGAGTAAAATGGCAAATATTTTAATCTGGCAGTGACTTACTGAATTAAAAAATGAATTGAGTCCCAACTCCCTGTTTGTTTTTGCCTTTCTCTCCTTCCCCGCAAATATCACAAGTTTGAAATCTGTCTTACTACTGTTATTTTTCATTGTTCATTTCCTGCTCATGTGTAACCCATAGCAGGGACAATAAAAAAATGCAACTTCATTACCCAGAGTGTGCAAGAGACCTGTTAGGTCTCAGTATTCAGATTTAATTATCTAACACCCAGTTATCTATTCTGTTTCCTTCTTTTTAACTCAGGGCAGCATATCTGATTTACTACATTAGCTGATAATGATACCAGCGCTGCCTATAGGAAGAATTTTTCTATAACCATTTCCTCCGATTTGATCTACTTTATAACTATTGTACCATTCATAAGCCACAGAGATGAAACCACTTCTTTGTGGAATTGAAAAGGTCAGTTGAAACCAACAGCCGGTTTGCTTCATGAAATCTAGCAGGAAATCCTGTCTGCTGATATTTGGAGAGAAAAACAATTCAGAGAGAAAGGGATCATTATAAAATAGAACAGTTTCTCTGTGCATCAACTCCTTCTCATCACTAACCTCTCAATGGCCTCTTGCCAAAACCAGCCAAATGTGGTTTCTTTACTTCAAAGCTACCTACAGTGACACAGTGGCTGGGGGGAAGGTCACTGGGTGGACAGTTCTCCATGCAGCCTTTGTATGGTCCCAAAGTGCTGCTTTATCCCTCCCCCAAACTGTAGTATGCAATCTTCAAATGCGAGATAAGTCTAGTACCTGTATTACCATGTTAGAGAGAGGGGAACAACAGTTGGCATCTTATGGAAAGTGCCAGACCAAGGGCTAGTAGAGTGTAACTGAGGCAAGAAACTCAAGCCAACTGTTCTGGACTAAATGATTGTGTCCTCCCACCAAATCATGTATTGAAGCCCTAAACCCCAATGTGATGGAGTTGGAGGTGGAGCCTTTAGGAAGTGATTAGGTCATCAGGGTTTAAGCTTTCACGAATGGGATTCATGCCATTATAAGAAGAGTCAAGAGAGAATCTCTCTCTCAGCCAGGAAGCAGGCCCTCACCAGACACCAGATCTGCTAGCCCCTTGATTTTGGACCTCCCAGCCTCCAGAACTGTGATACATAACTGACTGTTATTTAAACCACCCGGTCTATATTTGTTATAGCAGCCCAAACTAAATACAATGGACGGCCACCCAGTCGCAACCAGAGCCAGGGGACCCAGGAATCACAGTAAAAGGAAGACTGTGCTGGACAAAGACGCAGAGACAGAGTCAGCTGACAAATGTGGAATCAGGAGGATTTAACTGAAATCGGAACAAGGAGAAAAAGCTAATCAAAACAGAGGCCTGTTTTGGAGAAAATGAGCTAGAGTTGTTGGAAGAGCTAGGGAATGATTGGATGGAGGTTCTCTTTGGAGGCCATAGATTGAGGCTTGAAATCACCTCTTGCTGGTATTAAAGGACCCCCTTTCCAGGGTACACAAGAAATGATGTGGACCCCAACAATAGAATGAGAAAAATCCAATCTGATCAGAAACTTCCGGCTCATGATCCATTTCTGATGCTTTCTCCAGTTGAAAATTAAATTTGATATGTTCAACAGAGTGAAAAAAATGCTTCTAACTCAATTATCCCAGTGTTATCAGAAAAAAATTAGAGGAAATAGTTATGAGCATTTGCCCATACAACAAGTTAGGTATATTGGCAAATTGGATATTTTGAGCATGGAAAAAATATTGTAAAAGGAAAAAAATGTTTTATTCATTATAATGATACATGAGTTCTTCCGCAAGATATCACTCATTTATTAGACTTTGTTTTATGACACTGTGGAATCTTCTATAGTAAGAGTTCTGTCCAAAGGCATGGTTTGTACAGGCTTTTTAACCAGGCAACAAGAGAGTAGGAAATATAATCTGCACTTTCTGGCTTATGTGAGTTCACTTCTCAGTAGTCCACCAGACATTCCGGATAGTTTATCTAAATCTCTGCAAGAGAGAGAATAGCACATATCGTGAGACTTTTATTACTAAAGGCTTACTATGTTTAACATAACTTGGTTTGTTTCCTCTTTTTCCTTTTTCTCAGAAACCTAACACTATCTTGGAACCTCATTACCAGCCCTTGGTCATGAAGAACATTTCTACCCTGCCCGTGACTGTGTTGCTCTCAGTAAATGAACCCTTCTTTGTCTGTGAGATGGATAAATCTCTGCGGCCCTTAACGCCTGAGGTAACTTGACTGAGGGCTGTCCTAGCAGATTCCTGGGTAGGTTGTGCGTGAGAAAGGGGAATAATGTTAGAATATCAACTTCAGTCCAGAAAATTATAAAGAATCCAGGAAACAAAGAGGAAAGAATACAGAAAATTTTAAATGAGTCATAAATAATTTCCAGTGTCAATCAGTAGGAAAACTATCATTAATAGTGTAAGAACTTCTGGCTCATTATGATGACCCTTTTATCCTTGCCCATTATAATGAAGCTGATCTTTAGAAAACAGTGACTTCACACAAATGACAATAAATATCTTTTAATTCACCTCCATCAAATCTGACCAAAACTCCATACAAGGAAATGAGGGAATAGCCAAAGCCCAGTCCCTAAACCAGCCATCCCATCTCCAAATACTGAGAAATCGGAGCCAGTCTGAGAGAGGAGGCTTGAGCTCATCAGGCTACCAGTCTGGGGCATGACGCAGTGTTCTCTACGCATTCCTTCGAGACCATATTCGTAATCCTTTGCTGGATGCGAGGGTGGCAGTAGGGGTGGCCGGGCCATGGGGCAAGTGGCACAGCAGAGCTGTAAGAAAGGGGGATTGAAGGAGAAACCAGACCCACATACCATCAGCTAATGGAGAAGTGGTCCCAAGGAAAAAGTCAGAGCAGGCAACAATCATGAGATCTCAGAAGAGGAGCCTGGGACTTAAGGAGAGTTTCTATGAGCCACATTCAGGGAGGTGGGTCTTTGCGGGGAAGGGGGAACAGAGCTGCTTGGTGAGAGCTTGTTACAGATCATACCCGACTGGCAGCTGTAAACGGCACTGCTGCCCTCTTTAGCGAGTCTTATTCAAGCATGAGCTGAGGGAAAAAAAAACAAAAAAAAAAACAGCTAAGATCTTCACAACTCTAAGTAAAAGTTAGAAATGATCATAGGCAAGAGGCAGATGAAAACCTGCTGCAAGGGCACCTAGGCAAGGAAGAAGGCCAAAAGTATAAACATCCAGTCCTGTATGGGCTCAAAGAAATGACAGATGATATGACCGGTCTTTAAGAAGAGCTCAAGAATGAGACAGGTTTTCAAAGAGAAGATGAAGAGTGAACTCACAGAGCAGAGGAAAACAAATGGACGAGAAAATGAAAGTTCAGACATGGGCACTTTCTCAGTCTCGGGGATAGATTAGAGCCACTCTTGTCCCTCCTAAAATCTTTGTAAGATAAAAGTAGAAATGTTTAAGAGGAAAGAAGCCTAGAGCAATAAAATAAAGGGGGAAGAGGATGGTATAACCAAATTAGGAGAGATTTAAACACATTCTAGAAAATAGAATAAGAATGTAGTGGCTTGGCAAAATGACACAAAAACTTGCAGCCTAGAAAATTCTCCAATGAGGCCACAAAGATGTGGGAGTCATTCGGCCCAAGCAGCCGGGGCTCAGAGGCAACGAGTGTGAGCGGAGTGCTGAGAAAAGAGGAATTCTGTGTGCGCCAGACGGCGGCCCCACCAGACCCCAGGCACGACACACGAGCAGCTGGCTTGTATCCCACGACATAAAGATACATGCTCTTCCCCAGAGAAACTGACCAAAACGTTTCAGGAAATCTAATGTTTCTAGTGTCAATGTTGGCACCCCAGAATAATCCTGCTTATCTGGGGTGTGTCCACTGCCTGATCGTCCCCTCTCTTCCCAAGGAAACTGTTCTGTAGACCAGCCCCACTGCAAGAATTGAGAAATGGTGGCCTCCAGATTGCTGGGATGGCAGGGTGGGTCAGGAACTACTGTTTTTTGTAATAACTATTATAGTACATTTTGACCTTTTATATTATTTGCATGTATAACTAATAAAAATATACATGTAATTTAAAAAGTAAAGAGCGATTTCAAATCAACAAGAAAAACGTTAATAACCCAGTAGAAAAAAGGGCAAAGGAAATGAACAGAGTTCATAAAAATAAAAATAAAATGGCTCTTAAGTATATGAAAATATGCTCAATTTTAATCGTAGTAGAAGAAATGCAAATTAAAATTACTATGAAACACATCTTTTTCCCTCTCAGATTGGCAAAGAGCAAAAATTCAGTCATGCTTTGTGTTAGGAAGGGCATGTGGAAATAGGGATTCCTCTACTGTGTTGGGAAAGGGTACACTGGAAGACAGCGTGGCAGTAGCTATCAAAATTTTAAATGCCCATACCCTTTAACCTGTATATTCTGTAGATTCTGTCTATATCTGTAAGATACATTCTCAGGAATTACATATCTTACATGTATTTATATATGTCATCCTGTATATTCTGTCTATATCTGTAAGAGACATTCTTATGTATCTTACAGAGACATTCTTATGTATCTTACAGATATATTCTTATGTATCTTACAGATATAGACAGAATATACAGGATGACATATATAAAAGGACATTTACTGCAACATTGACTATAACAGCAGAAGATTGAGAGCTAATATCCCTCAGAAGGAGACTGGTTAGAGAAATGATGGCAGAATTATGTGATAGAATAAAATGAAGCTATTAAAAAGAATGAGGTAGCCTATATGGGGAGATGAGCACTAAGGTGACTTTTCATTGTCCTATTTGAAAATATAAATTAAATATTTTTTTAAGATTTTTAAAAATAAGGCCACACCGTATTCCAGGACAAAATGATATAGAATATTTATATTGAGAATATTTATATAGTGAGAACTTTGTCTTAGTGAAGTTACTGGTCTTATTAAGAACCAAAGAATCCCATGGCATCTGAGCAGACAAGTAGAGACTTCATCAGGGGAAGACACCAGACTAACCTTGGACTTCTCTACAATAATACTTGATGGCAGATGACAACAGGACAGTGCTACAGAGTTTTGAGAGAAAGCGTGACCCAAGAATTTCATAACCAGCCAAATTGTCTTTTGAATATAAAGGTAACAACAGGCAAACATTCTTAGAATGCAGGGACTCAATGAATACAGTACTCAGGCACCCTTGTTGAAAATCGATTTGCCATTGAAATACAACTGTTCAGGAGAAAAACCAAAAAATGGCACTCGGAAATGAAAAAAAAAAAAACTGTAAGGAAAAGACTGGCAGGAGGACTGAATCCATTTAATCCTACAACTGAGATTAAACAACACTGGCAGTTATGATTTTAAAACAATGTTTTATACCTCAACTTTTTAAAAATTAACACTATAACCAATAACAACTGTGAGGTAGGGGAAGCATAAGCATGCTGATTTTATCCCCTTTTACAGCTGGGTATCAATAAGATATTGTTAAAAGATGAAACTGCTTAATATTTAACCATCGTTTTTCTTGGTCGTAAAGGGATAATAGTGATAATTGCCACTTATATATCATACACTACGTGCCAGGCACTGCTCTGAAGATATCATATGTCTATTAACTCATTTCATCCTCTTAAAAAGAGATAGGTACTATTATTGACCCTAATTTACAGATAGAGAAACTGAGGGTTAGGAAAGCCAAACAACTTTGCCCAGATTCATAGAGCTAGTAACTGGCAGACCAGGATTTGAACCCAAACAGTCTGGCTCCAGAGCCCATGATTTTAGGTTGATATCTCTTGTATAAGAAATTTTTTCCAGTTTTTTTTTTTTTTGAGAAAAAAATTCAAACACGATATTTTTAAATAAATTAGTCTAGTTCTATTTTTGTAAAATTTTATTTAGCCATCCATCAGTCATGTCTGGCCTAATGTTTACCAAATATGAACTCTGAGAAATAATACATGGTGAAATTTGAGATGTTTCTAATTTCTTCTTTGTGCTTTTATATTAAATGTGAAGATTTGGGGTAATGTATCATTTCTATGAAACAACAAAGTCGTTCCTCTGGGGGGAGTGTTTAACTCCCTCTTCAGATATTTAAACACCAAGCATTGTGATACCAAGTGCTGCAGGTGCCATGATCTACAAGAGTGAGTTCTCAATTGTGGGTTCTCATTTCCCAGCCAGTTGCGCCAGGTGGCCCGCCAGCCTCTCAGATGGAGTTAGCCTACTGAAAAGTCATTACTGTCTCTGACTCTTGAATCAGGTGATTGGCACTATCAACCGAAGCCACCTAACCATGTCACTGGTGTGCGCAGTTGAATACCTGAACCTTAAAACTCAGTGGAGAGGGAAGTGCTCTGTAAACAGATGCACAGATGTGCGCATGCCATTTGACTACCTTGGAGTACTTTCTGCAAAACCAAGAAGTGGCTTTCATGCCAATTAAAAATGTGGGAATCGAGTAATACCCAAAAAAGCCAACTCATAGCAAGGCATTCTATGGGAAGATATTACTGTGGCTTTGGCATCTAGGAACATGTGGATTTGAATCAAAGAGAGAAAAGAACAAACAAAATCTACCCAACAAACTCTGTATAGCTCTGGAGCGTCGTTTTAAGTTGAATAGAAAACAGCAGAAAGTAGATAACACTATGCTTAAGAGTTAGAATTGCAGACATTGGAAAATAAATTAAATTACCTAATCCATCCCTTTCTGGGTCATCCTCTACAGAGCCCCTCCCCCAGTGCTTGAGAAAGCCTTTTAAAATTTTTCTTAAGCAAAGAAGTTTTCCCACTTGTCTAGGAAGAGCATTTTACAATCTAATTTATTTTCAGGTAAGAATATTTTATGATAGCTATTCATTTTTACAGCTCTTCAATCATTATAACCTCACAACTCTTATCGAAAGCTTTTCCTTCAAATAGTTCCTCTATAGATTTTCCTTGCTTTCATCGTCAACTAAAAATATATATATATTTGCATATAAATAAAAATATCTATAGATATCGGTATAAATATAATAGCTGTTTAAGTGTAAGTGTGTATATATAAATATGGATAAAGTGTGGATGTATATGTATTTCATTCTAATCTATATGTATGTATCTGTGTGTGCATAAATATATTTAAATAACTTTGGTTGTCCTGTTTTATGTATCAAGTTGGAAATGCATAGTGCAAAGGTTGGTAATTTACCATTATCTTGCTTGTAGCCTATTAAACTGGAGATTGGTGGAGAAAAACACCTGCTGGTCAAATTTGACCCTTCCCACAGAAACGATCTGAATAACTGGGTGGCAGAAGAAACTCTAGCAATCAAATATGTGGAGCACCCTCAGGTAGACACTCTGAGTCTTCGTGGGGAAGTACATTACCCCAACCTCAGCTTTGAGACCATGGAGCTGGATTTTGGCTGTATCCTGAATGATACCGAGGTGATCCGCTACATTACAATCAGCAACTGCAGCCCACTGGTTGTGAAGTTCCGCTGGTTCTTCCTGGTGGACGACGAGGAAAATCAGATAAGGTACGGCCAGCATAGACATCCCACAGAGGTCTTCTCTGCCATTCATTTTTTTCCTCCTCCAAGCTTTGCACTGGGTTCCTGTTTTCTGTGCACTGGTCTTACATGAATACTTTCAGTTCTGACAACTAATTACTGACAGAAATAACAAAGAGACTAAAATCATGTCCCTCCTAGATTTCAAGCAGGAAAAGCAGATAAAACATCTTTGAAAGTCTCAATCACCACCAAATTAACAAAGCAATAATTTTGAGTCTAGAGAATGTATCAGAAGTTTGTCACTAAAAAGTAAAGTCTTTGTAGAGTTTTCTTAATAAGCATTTCAAACCTAATGCATGCATTGCGCAGCACGGTACATCGAGTATGTGCTACAGGAAGCTCCGTGTTCTGCATATTTCAGTGGGTTTTGTTCTGGCCTGTATCGGTGTATATAAATATGTGTATGTGTTCATACACAAAATAGTGGGAGGTGATGAGTGCCAAAAGGGAAAAGCGTCTTCAGAATATTTGTATTTAGAGATATCTCTCCTGTTCAATTAAATTTAAGTTCAATTAGAAGCTAAATCCAAACTTAATTTTGAAAACACTCCTTTAAAAAAAATAAACAGCCTGTTTTAGTCAGGCCTCGGGAACATTTTTGGTCTAGGTCAATTCTCGTTGGCAATCAGGACAAATAGGCTTCTTTCTGCATATTTTCTCATCGGATGTTTTGACAGCTCGGTTTTCAGCACTGACTATTGAGTGGCCATTCTTAAATGAGGAAGCCCCATGTGTCCTTGGCTTGTCGGTGCTTCCTGTACACAGCCCTTGTCTTGTACATGACAGCTACCCTTTCCTTTCTAGCACTTCTTACCATGGTATTTGCTCTGGATGTTTTCTGTAGACATCTAAAGATTATACGCAGCCCTCATCTTGTACGTGACAGCTACCCTTTCCTTTCTGGCACTTGTTACCATGGTAATGATGGTTTGCTCTGGATGTTTTCTGTAGACATCTAAAGATGACCTAGCATAGCACTGAAACCAGGCCTGGGCCTGAGCAATGGAACCTGATCGTTAGGTCTCAAGGACTGTTTAGATTTGAACTGAAATTCTGCAGAAGATGAACATTTAAAATAATTATGGAAAAACCAGCCAATCTGACCTAATAAGCTTCGAATACCAGATTCTGTGAAGTTGTTCTGATGTAGCATAGCTAAATGAGTTCATTTCATCTGGGAGCAAAGGACATGCTTTATTTATTTATTATTTTTGTGAGGCCATTTCCATAATTAAAGTAATGACATTTTGAAAATGTGCTTGGCCAATACTGGAGATGATACACTTAATTTTTCATGGTTTTAAACATTCATTTAATCATTTTTTTACTTTTTCAGTATCTTCTTATATCTCGATATTGAGCCTCTGCTTATAATTCATTTTTTAATTCATCTATTCACTTAATTCAGAGAGTCATTCAGAAAACGTATGATAAGTGATTCTTATGCAACAGTTAATGTGTGAGGCTTTAGAGATATAAAAGTAGATAAGACATGCTCACTGGCCTGAGGCTACTGGGGAAGCACTAGTGTAAACCACGGTGGACCTGTGATAATTCCGGGCTCTGAGGAAGGACAGAGATGGGGTAACTGCTCAGAGCACTCAGAGAAGGCTGTGCTGGGAAGCGCAGTTAAATGTTCCAGATGGAGACACAGGGAAACATTCTAAGTAACAAGAATACTATGCTTGTATTAGTTAGGATTCATGGATTCGGTTCTATTGCAAGGAAACCTGACCCTAAGCAAAAAGAAAAAGAAGTGGACACTCATTGGTTCCCACAACTCAAAGGAACAGATTCATCTGGCTTAAAGCCAGGGCTCGAACAGTGTCACAGGATCCAGAGTTTCTGTCTCTCAGCTCTGCTCTCTCCCATGTGTTAGCCGTGTTCTCAAATCGGCCCTTCTCTCATGGTCCCCAGATGGCTGCCTTCGCTCCCGGGGCCATGTCCTTGCAGATTCTGATCCACTGGAAAGGAACATGAGCCTCTGTCTCAGAACTTCCATGAGATTCATTCTGATCAGACCAGCTTAATCACATTTCCTGCCCCTCCCCCAACCAGTCATTGTCAAGGGAGGGCGAAGCACTGATCGGCATTGGCCCAGCCACGTGCCCCACACCAAGGACTGCAGTGGTGACCTCAGAACCCTGTGGACTGAAGAGGGTGGGAATGGGGCAGATCTCCAGACAAAAACTGATATATGAGAGAATGGATATTGGTGAGGCAAATGGTACCACTTGCCGATGTGGACGGAGGGTATGTCAGCGTGCTACAACGCAGACTTCACGGCGAGGGAGAAGTCAGGGAGGAGAGTCTGGGGAGCAGACTGGCAGGAGAGTGCAAGAGGCCTGGTGTTCCATGATGACAAGGCAGTGGCGAGATTTAAAATCAAGAGGCCGACAAGGGTCAGGTCTTTGTTTTTGTTTTTGTTTTTCAGAAAGATAGCTCTTAGCATTCAGCACAGTTGCCCAATCCCGTCTTCCTGAAACACGTTCCTTTCTTGTTTTTCCACTCATCCTGTCGACTGACTGCTCCCTCTCAGCTCTAGGCCAGAAACGACTCCACCGGACTAGTAGGATGCAGGGTTCTCTCCTGGAGCTCTGCTTTCCCTGACAACTGTGCTCACCCCACAGCTTCCCTTAGCCCCTGTCGCTCCCAAACGTGCATCCGCACCTATGACTGCCCTACTGAGTCCCAAGTGCATTGCCTTCTTGACATCTCCTTTCAGATGTCTCCCAGGTGACTCACGTCCAGTGTGCCCCACTAAACTCAGGCTCTCCCCCATCCCCTCCCTGCCTCTCTCTAGGACCCCCATCTAAGTAAATGACGTCACTGTCCTGGGAGGCATCTAGATTCCTTCCTCTCCCTAACCCCACCCACTTCATCAAACCCATCACCGAGCTCTACCTATTCTGCCTTCTAAAAACCTCTTATTCTCATTTCTACAGTTGTTACCCTAGTTCAAGTCACCGTTGCTTCTTGCCTGGACCATTGTGACAGTCCCTAACTGGGCTCTCACCTTCCACTTACGTGCCATAGTCCGTCATCCACTCAGTAGCCAAGTGAGGAGCATGGCATTTCCCTGGTTTTCAGCTTTTAATGACACCCTTGCTTCTTAGGTTAAAATACAAATACTGTGTTCTGCAGGGCTCAGCATGTGCCAGCCCCTGCATTTCTCCCCAGTTTCTTCTCGCTTCGGTCTGCCCTCTCATTGACCTTTGTTTACCCACCATGCTGGCCTCTGTCCTGTCTAGTGTTAACTGCCTACTCTCTACTGGAAGCTGTTCCCCACTCCTCACCTAGAGCCTCTGCTCCCACATCAGGTCTCAGTTTAAATGTCCTTCTCCAGAGAAGCCGTCTCTGAGACCTTTACCTGAGACCCAACACAGGCACTGGTAGCTCATCTCCTTGGTACCTCATCGCATTCGTAATAATGGCTTAATGTCCAACTTCACAGCTGGCTCTTACTACCCATGATGCCAGGGAGCACGTCTGTCCTGTTGCTTCTGGATCCCAGAGCCCGGCACAGTCGTTAGCACAGAGTCTGTCCTCAGAGGATATTTTTTAATTAATCAGCTGCTCCCCCTGCCTCCACTACTCTTTGTACTAAGAGGAGATTCGCTTCATAACTGGTTTAAGATTCTTTTCTGTCAGCTTCCTGGCACCTGCCAAATGGAAAGGTTCAAGGCATAAATGTCACCTTGAATGGCAAAAAAAAAAAAGTGCTACTTACCCTCTAGATAGATTTTCTCTGTGCAGGCCATCAGAAAAACATAAAGCACTCATTGGCTAAAGGTCACTTTTATCAGATATACCAACACTAACCTTTTTTCCCAATTAGAATTCTTCTAAGCTTTACAGTTAGTAAAAGAAACAAAAGGATAAAAGCAGCTTTTCTTTTTCTTTTATTAGGCAGGGTATGAGGATGTCTAGACACTTTCAACATTGCTTCCTGTCGCACCCCCTACATCTGCTGTGTGTGCACGGCATGCGGAGTGAAGTGCATGTGTACATGTGTGTGATTTTGTAGGCGATTCTTACTCATTTAAAGCATCTCTCTGGTTTGAGTATATTTTTTCCCAAGTTGGCCCTCATATCATACATAAGAACAAAAAAAGAAGTAAAATGGATAAGCATGCTGAATGATTAGCACTCCATAAGAGGAAAAGCCAGTTATTGGCTTAGCAACACACTCGTCCATGTGAGTTCATGTGTATGACAGGGTTTTAGACTGACTTCTGTACCACTCACGCACACAGATGTAATGAGGACGGTGGGATAAAATATAAGGGCTGAGTATCGTGCTGGCCTAGCCAGCACGTAGGAATGTGTCCTTTATTAAGTCGGTCTCTTCAACCTGACTGCTCAGCTGGAGGAGAGCACGATGCTTCATGGCATCTGTGTGAGAGAGGAACACGAGGAAGCCAACACCTGAACCAGCCTTTACTTCTGAGAGGCCAGAGAGAGCCAAGCAGATGTTGGCTCAGCTGGCATCTCTGCCCAGGCTCAAAGCCACAAATCTGAGGCGATGCTAGGACTCAGAGCATGTGAGCCAAGCAGTCTCCAAGGACAGCTTCGCCTTTTCATTTCCAAGTCAGATTATAAATAAATCGAATACGAAGGCCTAAGGGAGCCCAGCCCTTCAACAAAGGGACATGTGTTGTTCTCACATTGATTTTGCTGTGATGAGCATCAGTCATCAGATATTGTGATTGGAAGAGGAAGGTGGAAGAGAGGAGGAGGAAGCCTCATTTTCTGGATGCTTCCATCTGTCTCTTCATCATCCCTCAATTTCTGTTGCCTTGAAAGTGGAACTTTTCTAAGACGTGGTATGTTAGTGGTAGTTGAGGTCCTGGGCTGTGGTTGGACAAGGCCGGTTAGAATCTGGGCTCGGTCCTTCTGGCCTATGCCTGTGCTTGCATCTACCCAGCCGTAAACTAGAGGTAATGCAGAAACCTGAGAGTTGT